ACTTGGCTTTACTTCTTGTGAATTGCAAATCAAAGAGGTAGAAGTAACTAGTTTCACCCTATAATACTTGTGGCACTGTGTCTCTGGTACTTAAATTACCACAAGAGCAAATTCAGAGACAGATAAATATAATGTTGTCAGCCACATTCCTTGCCACGTCACATTTTGCAAAATAAAGAGGTGGTAATATCACACACAATTTTACGTAAAAGGCATCAATACAATGTCCGCAAAGTAATCACCCAAAGCAAACTCACCATAACATCCCATTTCTGTCCAACGCCAATGGTTCCACGCATTTGAAGAACCATCCTAGCCAGTAGCCAATACAAACAACCAATGCTGTGCCTCCCCTTGTTGTTAGCGGGAATGGCAATGTCAACATAACGCATAGGAGAATCAGTGTCACAGAAAGCAATGGTAGGGATATTTCCAAGAGCACCCTCTTTGATAGGCTGAAGATAATACAATGCTATACATCAGAAGAATGAACAAGACAACAATTTAAAATAATGTTAGCACATGTAGATGAGGAAATAACCTGGTGATCAGTACGTGGATCAGTCAGAATGAGAAGACGAGGTTCACAGAAACTGGTCTGAAGCTGATTGGTGAAGGTTCCAGGAGTATGCCTTCCTGCAATAGCCTGGGCTCCAGTGTACTGAGCAAACTTCAGCACAGCTCTCTGACCATAAGGCCTGGCTGACTGAACAATAATGTCCTGAGGGTTCTCAATAGCTACAATAACCCTGGCAGCCAATTGAAGTTTTTCCCAAGTCTTTCCCAAATTTATGATGTGAATACCTGATAGTAGATATTGTCAAGATAAGGTGTAGCATCTTAAAAAGATATGTAAATTACAAGAACTTCCAATAATATTTAGGAATTTGAACCATTATACTGAAACTAATATCCACAAAAAATTTGAAATATTGCAGGGGAGACAAAATTAAAAACATCTAAACCAATCAAAAAAAGGGAAAATCGACCTTCTCTTCATATATACATTCAAATAAGGCCATGTCAACACACTTTTAAACGAATATTTGTTTGTTAGAATGCAGCTCGCTTGAACTAACAGATAACCAAAGAATGAAAATTCAAAGAGTGGTCACCTTAACATCATGTCATATAGCTTGAATAACAATATACCATAACAGGGTATGTATTCTACTACTAGTCATACATTATTCCACAACAATTAGGTAACATACACACTGGTTTAAAAGTATTCAAATATAAAACTTTAAAGCCAAAATCTATAATCAATCGAATCGACTCTTCCATTTGCCTACCAAACCACATATTGGACAATTGAAATGGGTGTCAATACTTAGGTAAACCCCTTCAATGCATTAGATAAAAAAGGACTAACCCAGCATATCCATATTATATGCTTCCTTACAACCAGTACAGCCTAAACCACCACTTTTCGCATTTAGTCGTCACATTACTAGATCAAATTACACTATCAACGAGACTATTAATTCCAAACAATAGAAAAATGAGCTCAAAACTATAACAGCATTGCAAACGCAATATCCATAATAAGTAATAACCACATCCACATTCCTCTTATACAGAAACCAGTCCAAATTAACACCTTTGAATAGCATTGCATTGGTTTCAAAAACCCATAAATTTCCATCAACAATATCATCAATTTCTATCTCAATAATGACTCTAAAACAGTTCTAACAAAAAAATAAGTAAACCCCAGAAAATTAAACACAGATTTAAATCTAATAAACAAAATGCAAGACAAAATTAATATGATTAATTCTCATAAAACTCAATAAATTGATTCAGAATAAGAGAGAAATATACCGTCAGAACGGCGTTTGTGGGTGTAACGTTCCATCTGAAAGTCGCAATTTTTGGTGCCAAGATGAACATCAGCAGCAAGCATCATTTGGACGCCTTCCTCTTGCGGGGTCAACCCTCTTGACTCCATCGTTGCTGCTGCTTTGATTTTCTCTCTCTCTCCTGACGAAGAAGAAAGGGTTTCGAGTTGTGAAGAAGAGAGTATATAGCTCGGCAGTGAAGGACTGGAAATTGTTGAAGGAAAACAACACAAATACTGCAGCAAAGCCCAACGTCTCGTTCAAACCCTAATTTTTGTTTATTGACTTTACTACCCTCTCCACTCTTTCTTGGGCTTATTATACGTTTTATCAGGCTAGATCTTCGTGCACGGTTTTTTCAATCTTTTGGAAATAAATATTTTGCATATATTTTCTATCAATTTTTAAAAAGTTTTTTTAAAAAAATAAAATAAACTAAGGTTATTGATTGATGAATAGACTAGATTAGCGAGTAATGAGAAAGGTGGCAAATATGTTGTCTCGGGTTTGATTTAGGTCGCATGATTTAAATCTAATTATACAAGTGAAGAAGTGTGTATTATGGAGGATGGTTACTTAAGTCAAGTTTAAAAGTTTATGTTCGTTAATGAGAGTGTACAATGTTAACAAGAGTACATAATCTTTCATCTAGGGTCCGTTCCGATTTACTGAAAACAACTTAACTGAACTGAACGGAACTGATTGAAGCTGAATTGAAATAAATTGAACCGAAATTAAGCTGAACTAGAACATGCCCTGAGTGGACCTCAAAATTAGGTATTCATTATGATTTAGTTACTAAATCCTTTTATTGAAATTACTTACTCCGTATAATAGAGTTTTGAATTTCAAGATGGTCTTGTGCTTATCTAAGTTGAGTTTTATTTACTATTTTGTCATTTTACTTGTTTTGATCAGGTCAAGTAATCAGTATCCATTTAATTCTTCCCTTCTCTTGACTTTCATTCTTCATTAATTTTCTCTTATTAATTGTTAGTTTTAATCATCTTTTCTCTTTATTTCCACCACCTAATGAAAATTACCTTCAACAAATTAGTACTCTTACTAATGTGACTAATCTGACTTCTAATAAACCTTACTTGGCAAGTTGGCCTTAATATTTTGTTTCATCCGTATGACCTAACACTACAATCAGAGTTAGTCATGAGGTTAATTAATTCGGGAAGGATTGGTAGCAAACTAGGTAAGAATTCATAACACATAATTGGACTGCGCTACTTAATGAATTGGATTGGTTTGCTCACAGTTTGAGTAGTGTTGACTTGGGCTAGAACTTGATTCTAGGGATGTGTGTCATGATGCATTTGTTGGTTCATCGACTGAGAAGCAGGTTTTAATTTGGTAATTTTTGAAAATGTATGTGATTTGATTTAACCATATTGGTGGGAAAAATATGTAGTTTGGTAACTGTGTTGGTGTTCATTGGTTTATCACTGAATCAGACCTGATTGACAGTTTAGCGAGTTGATCCAAGCATATCAAGACATTATTACAATGATAGAGCATAACTAGATTAATATGAATATGAATTTGAATTAGATAGGTTTATTCATTCAATTCAATCAAGTGTGAATTTTACATGGTCTAATTCTTAAACAAAAGGTGTTATTTTTGAGTTTTTATGTGTTACTTTATGGAATTATGAAACACAAACTTCATGCAAGTATATGACTACACATGTAAATAAGAAATGCACTTCACAACAATGACTAAACAAAACTAGACCCAAACATAAGGATTTAATCTATCTCATGACTTAAAGGTTCACTTGATCAAATCTCACTAACAGGTTATAGTGAGATTTTCCCTCATTTCCAATAAATCTAACTTATAAAGCTGCTGAATTAGATAGATCACTAAAAACTTGTAAATATACAATTACTAGTTCTTTGCCCGAGCAACGCTCGAATATTAACAAGGAAAAAAAATATTTTTATAAATTACTATAAGTTTGAGAAATATCTATTTATGTTATCAAATTATATAGATTAGACACAGTAATATCGAGTACTTATTTCTAATTTTAGTTTCCTGACATCTTATGAAGTTAAAATTAAGTTAAAATCCTTTTTGAGAGTTAAAAACAAATAATACATTTTATATATTAACGATTAAAGATTCAAGGGAATATACAAAAAAAAAATATTTATCTAAGTGTTTATTATTGCTCTACTTTGTAGGTTGCATATTTTTTTATCAGCTATGTTAATAATTTTTATGAACAAAAAAGAGAAAAAAAAAAGAAGGTTTTGGCGGAAAATTTTCTAATAGAAACGCAACACGTGTACTTTGGGGATAAGGTTGGGAATTACTTTATTATATTAGTACCAGATTAGTTCCGTGTGATGCACAAATTTCTTTAAAATATAGAGTATATATTTTATGTATTCTTACGTATCGAAAAAATTATTGAGACATAACCATTAGTTGTAAATGCTAATTTTATAAAATTAATTTTGAAGAAGAAAAAACCGAATATGAAAATTTAAGCATATAGATAAAAGTGAGTTATTTAATATACGATTTTAATTAAGCAAATAAAAAATAATTTTAAACTTGTAATATATAAAAGAAAATAGAAAAAAAAATATACATCAAAGTATTTTGTTGGATGAAGCATAAGGGAAAGATGTATTAGATACCAATAGTTGGTGATAGAAGAAAAATAAATAAATTAAAGAGTATAGATAAGGGTCTGTTCTCATTGACTGAACTGAGCTGAACTGAACTGAACTGAGCTTAGGGGGTAGAAATTCGGGTCAGTGGGTTGGGTTCGTGTTGGATTTCGGGTCGATTTCGAGTTATGCTTAGAAACAATTAAAAATAGTGTAAAACTTAATATTATTACGAAATATGAAATTTTGGTCAACTCGGGTCGAATTCGGGTTATTCGGGTTCAGATCGGGTCGGGTTCGGGTTTCTCTTAGTAACTTCGGGTCAGGTTCGTTCGGGTTATCGGGTCGGGTCGGGTCGGGTCAGGGATTGCCAGCTTTAAGTGAACTGAACTGAACTGAAATGAAATGAATATTTTATAAGAGAAGGAAATTAGGAGCTGAACTGAATTGAATTGAACTGAACTGAACTGAGCTGAACTGAACTGAACTGAATTTCAACGTAAGAGAACATGCCCTAAATTGAGAGGAGGAAAAATTAAATTTGAACGTCAGATTTTTATTTAGGCGGAAAAATCTTTCTTATAAAGCTGCCACGTGTACAATATAATGTCAACGGTTGTTCCTTTAGTTTATTTATAGATAGATAGATAGATTGATGCTAGTTTCTTTCAATCAATTCAAATTTGCACATACCTCACATGTGCACAACTTCGGAAATGATTCAAATGAATGTTTAGTGTCATAGTATGGAATAAGCCCAAAAAAATCATTGCAAACTCCTTCAACATAAAAAAAAAAATGCAACCAAGTGAACAACTTAACGTCCACACCAAAATCATGGCCCTCCCTCACGAGTTCTAGAAGCTACTCATATTTCACAGCTTCACTCTCTTCATCTTTCACAGTACTTCTTATCTTAGGCTTTTCTGTTTAATCAGAGCTCTTTTACTGGAAACATCCAATCAATCATGGTGACCCAAATGATCAAAAAGACGAAAGGTATTCAATTTCATTTTATAATTTTATTTTAATTATATGATTTATACTTTCCAATTGAATGTAAACTTGCCTAATTGGGTTTTATAGCAGTTAAATTATGTTAAATGTTAGTAACTTTTTTGATCAAATTTCTGATTTTTTGACATGGGTTTGATGGATTTTGGTGTAGTTAGTGACAGTTTGAGTGATTTAATGAAGTTCTGACTAGGGAAATTGGCAGAAGTTGAATACTCTAGTGTTGAAGTACGTGTCACTTCTATGTTCTTGGTAAATAATTCATTTAATCTTCTTACTTTATACTATATAATTGTTGGTCCATTTGATTTTGTGTGTGTGGAATTTGATTAATTCTTCGTAATTTAATAAGGAATTGGAATTTCCATCTGTAAGGCGAAATTGGGAACAATTGATTTATGTCTCGAGCTAGTTTGGTATTCATGTAATGTGTGATAAACTGATAACTGATAAGTGTAGAATGTTGCTAGATCATCTGGAAGAAAATGGTGAAATGTAGAATTGGTATATTCATTGCTGTATTTGTATTTGCACTCCATTGTTATGTGTTGCATCTTTTCTCATTCGGAACAATCGATTTATGTCTCGAACTAGTTTGGTATTTATGTAATGTGTGATAAGCTGTAGCATGTTGTTAGATCATGTGGAAGAAAATGTTGAAATTTAGGATTGGTATATTCATTGCTGTATTTGTATTTGCACTTCATTGTTATATGTTACATCTTTTCTCATTCTATTTCTGTACAATTGATATATGTCTCTAACTAGGTTGGATCATCTGGAAGAAAATGTTGATTGGTGTATGCACTGCTGTATTTGTACTTGCACTCCATTGTTATGTGTTGCATCTTTTCTCTTCTAGCTTGATCATGTTATAGAAAGTTTGTTACGCATGTTTTTGTTATTTTTCGGGCAGGGAAGGGTTTAGGGGGTGTGGATTGTAGTTTGGGATTGAAAAGATGCTTTCACTCTTTACTACTCTGTATCTTTTCAACGCCAATTGCTAGTATTTTTAAAATGAAGTCTTACCTTAAAGTGTTGTCTGCACTTTCGAGTTGTAGAATTAAGTTACATCCACTATTTGTTTGCAATAGTAAAATAAGGAGCTTGTAATGAAGCAGGTGAAGTGTGGATGATAAGCAATACTCTTTTCAGCCACGATTTAGTGGCAATTTACAAGTGATGAATAGAGTTTCAGTATAATAGAAGTTTTCGCTGAAGGATTCATGGATAGAAAAGATATAAGCTTTGTGAAAGTACAGTTTCATTTTAATTGGGGTTATTGGCAATTTGAAGTATGCATTCAATGGATTTGATTGATCATTGACATGGGATCATGTTTCAGTGCCTTGAATGTAACAACAATCTTGCTAGTAATTTTTCTATTTTTTTTTTATAAGAAGGAATGAATTGATAGAGTTATGAGAAAGAGAATGTTGGAAAGCTTAATTATATTGATGTGATTCCACGAGTATATATAGTACATGAGTAAGCAATATAATACGACTAGATACATTGGAGTACTTCATTAGCTAAGAATAAGGGATATCTTTGACTATCAATCTAAAGAGTAAATCAAGGGATTGCTAACTATAAACAATATCAATAAATATGATTTGATCAAATCCTTTACACGCCCCCGCAAGATGAACGACCAAAGGGAAAGTACAATCTTGTAAAATGAATGTTCTTCTTGATTGTTGATTGCCACTTCAAGATGTTGGTGTTTCTTTAATTGAGAGGTGTACGTACCAAATTGAGAGTTAAGAGAGATTTATTTATTTATTTTTTTTTTTTTTTTTTTTTTTTTGGAGGAGTTGCATGAAGAAGTAAAAAGATAGTATATAGAGAGAGAATAAGAAGTTGTTTAATGGGTGTTTTTCACGGTTTTTAAACACATGAACCATTGATTGTAAATATTTAAAAATAAATAAAAATTTGCTAGCGTATGCTTGCAACAAATGGGAGGGAAAAAAAATATAGAGGTTCCGATCCTTCACCACCATTGAAGGCGAGATCGAAAATATTAATGGTGGTGGTGGTTTAGAACAGAATGTTATGTTTTTCCATAATGGTTTTGGAGAGAATTTCGTATATGGTAACACATGGTAGGTAAACTACGGGATATTGAAAAAGGTTTGTTTCTCCATGTAAGGGGTTTGGAGAAAAAAAATATATATATCAATGGCATCTCTTGGTATATGAAATACGGGGTGCCAAAAAGAGTTGAGTGAAAAATGTGATTTTGGTTTGAAGCTTTCCGAGAAGAAAGTTTGATATGGTCACCATCATTTGTCGGCGTCAACAAAAGGTTTTGATAGTGTAACCATGGTAGTAGCGGAAGCAAGAAAAGATGGATCAAAAGCTCATGATACCATGATAGAGTTATGAGAAAGAGAATGTTGGAAAGCTTAATTATATTGATGTGATGAGTATATATAGTACATGAGTAAGCAATATAATACGACTAATACATTGGAGTACTTCATTAGCTAAGAATAAGGGATATCTTTGACTATCAATCTAAAGAGTAAATCAAGGGATTGCTAACTATAAACAATATCAATAAATATGATTTGATCAAATCCTTTACATGAATTGGGGCAGATATTGGCTTTTTAGAGATTCAACAAGTGCTGATAAGTTGCTTTTTCTTACAATTCAGGTGTCAAAGATCGCAGGATTAGGAATTGACTCTGTTGTGCAGAAAAAGGTTTAAGTTTCCAGATAATACTGTTAAGCTCTATGCTCAAAAACTTAACAGCAGTGGGCTTTGTGCCATTTATCAGGCTGAATCATTGCATTACAATCTCCTTGGAAGATTAGCTTTGAGGAGGTACAAGAATTGCTGCTTTTTAATTGTTTTTCTATGTGCTAAATTGAACATGTTGATCTTGGTCAAATGTTTTTTTATTTTCCCTCTTTTTTCTTTAGGGGTTGGATAGGGTTATTGCTTACTACCTGATTTGTCTTGTGATTGTATTCTGTCGTATGTTTTTTTTTTTTTTGAATTTTATTGAGTTCATTTCCTGATCCGTCTCTAATTCATTTGTCTTGCATTCTTGTCTAATTGTGGAAACCTTTCTCCTGTTGCATTGTCATCTTTACAGCGAGTTGATCTAACTTTACAACCTTTCTCGTGTCTGAGGATGACTATACTAATCAAATCATCCACCCATCAAAGCTGGAAGACTTAATAGTGTTTTCCAGAAGCAGTTTGGATGTGAAATGTTGATTGTGATCAATCTTTGACACTTAAAAGCGTAGGGAACTTCTATACTTGTTAAATTGTGACTCGAAATCTAGTAGGGCTGACTTTGAATGCTTATATCTCTCAAAACTACAACTGATTTTGAGATGATTCAAGTTGGAGGTGATAGCTTGAGCTTTCCAACGATAGGTCATATTTGATAAGAAACGAGAAAGTTATGACCGTTTTACAAAAACCTGACGAAGCTGGAACGAGGCTGCGAGCTATAGCTCTATGCGAGTGAGCTATAGCTCGGCCCTATGAGGACTTGCGGCAGGCATGAGCTAGCTGCCGAGCTATAGCTCGGTAGTTAGGTTATTCTAGGATAATTGATTGAATATTTCCTAAAATTATATATTTTCTATGACGGCTATTTGAGTATACTTGGGGAACAATCTTAGGGTTTTATTAGGGTTTTCTTGTGTTATAAAAGGACCCTTTAGTTGATCAATTAGATCATACCTTTCTTGAGCCATTAGATTTAGGACTCCTTGTATTATTCTCTTGTTTCTTTCTCCATTATAGTGAAGAAGCTCTCGAATCCCCCACCCGTGGATGTAGGTCTATTTTGACCGAACCACGTAAATCCTTGTGTTCTTTGTTTATCTTCTTTATTGCTTTTCTCGTTCTTAATTTCATTGACTTGTTCCGCATTAATCAAACACAATTACACCACTAATTTCCTAACACTTCTATCCCACTTGGTGTTAGTTTATTGCCATATCCAACTATATTACTTTGGTGTTACCGCATCTTACTATAGATTTATGGTTTTGCTACCTCAATGACGTTACTAAGCTTGAATCGAATATATCTGTAATCTGTTTAACTTATTTAGGTGCCTAGAACAATTAGATGGGATATAGGGTATCAAGTGGGAAGTCTCGTGGGATAGAGGATGTCTACTGGAATATTTTTTTTCACTTGTTTGCTAACTACGTCTCCATGTTATCTTACCAGGCATGCTATAATGGTGTGGAGTTTGTTATGGAAAATGAGCTAAGAAATTTGACTATGTGACTATACTTTGGAGCGATCATTAGCTCGTAGATCTCAGTGGATTAATCTTCTTGATCATCTCCTTACAGATTATTGTGAGTGGTATGCTTCGGAGTTCAGTATGCCTAGTCCATAAAGTCCAAGTCTGGTTACACGTTCTCTTCTGGATAGCCTGTCAATGGGTATATTGACTCAGCTGCGAGACACATTTTCCTTAGACAGGTTTAGGTTTCTTCTCTTATTATTTTTGTTTTTTGACTCATTACAAGGTTCTTTTTTCTAAGATCTCTGTCCAGCTGAAGTGAACAAGTATGGAGTGCTAATACCAACTCAGCTAACATAATACTCCGTAACATTCTACAAGTGTTTTTTTTTACTTCGCTTTTCCCCTTCCTTTAACCTGTGCCTCGTACTAATGTTTACCCTGGGGACGGAGAGAGGGAGTTACCTAAGTGCAGTTTCCGGAATGAAGTATTGAAGTCCATGGAGCTTAGCCTGACGACTTTATTGGCTATATGTTAAAGAGGGTGTCACTGGTTTTAAAGTCAGTCATTGCTCGATTGGGCTATCAAGGGGAAGCAGGGTCCTCCCATTCCATTACTTGATTTTGTTACTATATAGCCTCCCAAGGATGATAGGAAGAGTTCAAAGTAAGCTAATTGGATCTCTCTCCTCCACTCTGGGCTAGCAGACTGAAGGAGAGAGAATCTTACCCTCCCACAGACCAGCTCCATGCTCAGCTAAGCTCGCAACAAATGAAATAAAAAGAGTGAAATCATATATTATATGATTGCCGGCGGTCCATCGTGCTTGCGGGTTCGGTTGTGCTTCTAGCAAGTTAATCACGCCCGGTTCACGAGGTTCTACCACTGCAGGACCCAATCATAGTCAAAAGAAGAGTTTGATCCTGGCTCAGAAGGAACGCTAGCTATATGCTTAACACATGCAAGTCGAACGTTGTTTTCAGGGAGCTAGGCAGAAAGAAAAGAGGCTCCTAGCTCGCTATCAATTCTTTTTCCAGATTGGAATCCTTAAAAGCGGTTTATGAGACTACATGGATCCTTGGACTGGAGCTTTATTCCCACTCCCAGTAGAGTAGTCTGTCTTCAGTAGTTCGCTTGGTAGGCTTACCTCGTCATAGGCGATAGAGCCTTTCCCGCCAATTCCCTTGCATAGATTCTTAGCTAGGACATGCAGCTTGCCAGGGAGTAGATGCAAGGAGTCTCTCCTGCGGAAAGGGTGGGCCATTGATAAAGAATCGATTCCAAACCACAATGCTAATCTTCTTTCAACCTGCAATTTTGACGACCAACGTCGGGTTCCCTGTTCCGGTTCAATACATTTATTGCAGTGGCTTAATTTTAGATTTAGACAGCTATATATTAGAGACATCATATATATGTTTAGATGCAAGTTCGGCAAGTGAATTTAGAAAATTTGTTTCAAACAATGAGAGCGATTGCTATGATTATTTATGAGATGATATGCTTTATCAACAACATATACTCCCCTTCAAAAAAAAAAAAAAAAACAACACATACTCCATAATGATGATTTCCTGGGAAGGAAATTTTCTGGTTTGTGACTATGTCTTTAAAGTTTATGATGCTATGATAGAGTATAAAACATTTTTCTAGACATATTCTTGGACGGCCAATTGACCATATTGGTATAAAAGTTAACACCCTTATGACAGATTGGTATATAAGTTATTGCCGGCGACATATTGGTATAAAAATTAACATGTGGTGACATTGATATATAAGTCAACAAATTGCGACATTTACCCCTATTTTCTCGTCAGAGGATATGTATATGATACACACGCTTAATTTTAGTGCTAATAACTTTTATTTGACATTTTGTTTTTTTGTACTTTTGTCTACTTTTTATATTAATTTAAAAAAATTATGAAGTAAAAATCCAAAAAAAAAAAAAAAAAAAAAAAGTTGAAAGCCCAAAAGTGATGAGAAAGAAGCTAGGGGAAAACGAATAGGAAAGCTTGAGCAAAGGGATATAAGCTTGAATGTATAGAGGGCGTTGGTCATTGAAGCATCACAAGGGTAGATTCTTCTTTCATTTAAAAAAAAAACACTCATATATATATTTTTTCTTATTATATTGTTGATTTACAAAGTTGTGGGTATAATACAAATGAAGTAATAATGAAAGTTAGCGTCTACTAGTAATTGGTTTTGAAATTAAATAACTAAGGGCTTGTTTGGCATCATTTTTGGTTTTCAGTTTCCTATTTTTTTGAAAACTAAAAACTAAAAACAGGAAACAAGAAAAAGGTGTTTCCACTTTTCTGTTGTCAGTTTTCAAAATTATCATGATTTTAATAAGTTTAAATATTTTTTGATTCATTATAGGGATTATATCATATACTTTTAAAAAATAAAAAACCAAAAAACAGAAAACCAAAACAATGTCAAACGAACCCTAATATTGAGGTTTTGTTTATTGTTTATTAGTTCTTTGGGGTTTTATCGTTTGATTGATTTATCAAAGTTATTGTATTAGAAGGGAAGAGGGAAAAATTATTATTTGGTGCTGAATAAGTATATTATGATAATAAATAAGATTGCAAAAGTAATTAAAACAAAATTTTGAAGTATACAACACGCTCTTTCATCCGAAGAAAAAATAGGGGTAAATGTCACAATTTGTTAATTTATATACCAATATATCGCCACATGTTAATTTTTATACCAATATGTCGCCGACAATAATTTATATACCAATATGTCATAAGGGTGTTAACTTATATACCAATATGGTCAATTGACCATTCTTGGACAATCTCATCCAAAAGCTTAAGCTGATGGTTAAAACCCAAGAATATGTTTTATACTCTTCAGTTTACACTACCTCCGGTCCAAAATACTCGCAACTTTAGAATATTTTATATCTCACAAATAATACCCTAAAGTTGCGAGTAATTTGGACCGGATGTAGTAAGTTTATTAAACCTTTGGTTATGAAATCTTTTAAAAAAAACCTTAGTAAAATCTCAAATGACACTATCCAACCTATATTGGGCTTAACTCATGTACCCAACTCTTCATTTTTATTTGGGCAGCCCAAAGTTCGATCTATGGGATCATTTGTGGCTTACATGCTTCCGAGCTAGTGCAGAACAATCTCTCAAGTTGGATAATACTTGGTATTATCATGATCTGAGTAGCACATTCCCTTAGAGCAGGCACATTAGTGAGCAAAAAAAAAAAAAAAAAAAAATGTTCATTCTCTCTCTAGCCACTTTCTCTCTCTTCCCATCCAAATTTGCTCATGAGCATTTTTGGTGAGGAAATTTTATCCCACTAGTGATCAAAAAATAATTGAATTGCTCATGAGAATATTTTCTTTTGCTCATTGATGTAGTAACATTTCTATCATTTTTGCTCATCAATTTTGGATGAATGCTGGGGCCCACGATATTACTATTCATCATGAAATTTGCTCATCCTATGAGCAAATTGTGAAATGCTCATGAGCATTTTTCATTTTCCTCATTGATGTAGTACTATTTCTACCAAATTTGCTCACCACTTTTGCTCATGAGCAAAAAAATGCTCACTGATGTGAGTGCTCTTAATGGATCTAGATTCTCATTAGCTTAAGGGCATATATATAGTGCTCCCCTAAATTTTGTCAATTTCACGAAATGAAAAATTTGTCAATTGTAGCCATTCAAAGTTTATATTTTGCAAATTGCAACTATTTTTTTTTTTTAAAAAAAGTTGTAAATTATAACCCAAAGGTAATAAAACCTGTTAATTGCCATTTGATCTAATTTTTCCTCGATCTTTGCATCGAAAAAATGTTCTTTTGAGGTTTTAGGGGTCATATTAATTCTTAAGAGCCAAATTGAGCTTGGAATTAACAAACAAATGATGTAAATGTCTCATTTTTGCGGCAAAAAATAAAATGAAAATAGTTGCACATAAATTAATACATTTTTTAATATACAAAATGAGAAATATATGTTAATTTTTTGCCAATTTCAAGCTTAATTTGGATCCTTAAGGTCTAAAACGACCCATAAAACCTTAACGAAGTATTTTTTGACACGTAAATTGCAAAAAAATATATATTATATTGGGTGGAAATTAACAAGTTATGAGTACTTTTGAGCTTCAATTTGCAATTTTATGAATGAATGCAATTGGCAAAATATAAATTTTAAATAGCAACAATTGACAAATTTTCTTCAAGAAATATACTTTCTTATAAGGAAAAATTGCCCAGAATAATCCGACCTTTAACTCATCCGCCCAAAATAATCCCACCTTTCGATTATTTTTTAATAATCCGACCTTTATACCTATTCCGCTTTAAATGGTCCTAACCGGTCATCAAACTTGTTATTACAAGTTGCAAAACACGTGTCAGCCTATGATTTGTTTTAAAAAATAAAATTAAAAATAAAAATAAAAATATTAAAAAAAAAGAAAAAAAAAATTAAAAAAACCCCAAACTCTCATCCGGCAGCCAGCCATCAGCCTTTACCCAATTCCGACCACCAGATCCCCTCCTTGATTCCGGCCACCAACTCCCCTCCCCTTCCCAACCCCCGTTTTCGACCGACTTCGACTCCGACACCAGCCCGCGACACCACCAACATTGCAGTGACACTGTCGCTCCTTCGCAAACGCACCACCCACATTCATCCCCAAAATCGCGAACACCCAATCAGCCCCCAAAATGCACCATACAGTACAATCGGTCCCGAAAACACACCATCCAATTAGCCCCACAATCGCACCATCCAATCAACTCCAAAATCGCAGACACAAAACACACCACCCAAAATCGCAAAGACCAAACACATCACCCAAAATCGCAAACAGGGTCGATTTTCGGTGGTTGGGCTGGGAAGAAGAGGAGGTTCGGTGGTTGGTCTGGGTAGAGGAGAAGATTTCGATGGTTGGGCTGGGTAGGGGAGGTGGTTTCGGTGGGGTGTGTCGGAGAGGTTGGTGGCCGTAGTTTTTTATTTATTTAATTTTTCAATATTTTTTTTGTTAATTTTTTTTTGTCCCGTTACGTGGTGACACGTGTGCAACACAATCACAAGTCACAAATGGTAACTTGTTTAGCCGGTTTCAAGTCACTTAGGACTGTTGGGAGCAGATCAGACATATAGGTCGGATTATTAAAAAATAATCGAAAGGTGGGATTAATTTGGGCGGATGAGCGAAAGGTGGGATTATTCTGGGCAATTTTTCCTTCTTATAAGGGTTAGTTGATTCAGATTTAGTTTGGATTAACTCAGATCATATGTCATTAATTAAAATCCCACTGCCCCCTTTTTCTCTCTTCTCTCTTCTCTCTCCTCTCTCCTCTCTCTTCTAGGGTTATAATTTTTTTGGCTGTTTAGGCCGGAAATAGTCTAATTTCCGAAGAAATTAGACTATTTTCGACCCTTTTTCTTTAATTCAATTTATTTTTTGTTTTGTTTTACGTTTTTATTTGTTTTGTTTTGTTCTCTCCATCTGTGAGAGTCTGTCCCAATTTTCTAGGTTTTTTCCCAATTTTCTGGGATTTTGATTCTCATCTATGGATGAGAATTTTATTTTTAGGGTTCTTATAATAATTGGGAAGGTGATTTGGATTCCTATGGGTCTGGGATTTGTCATCAACTGGTCGATCAAAACATCAGCGCAGATTGCGAAGGTCTCAACTTGGAAAGATGCAAAGACATCGAAAATCATTGCTCGCGTTAAGCTTGAAGCGGTGGAGTATGAGTTATGCCAAATATGCAAATTAGTTATGATTTTGATTGTAAAAGTTATGATATTTTCTCTAAATCTGTGGTTTACAGATCCTTATTATTGTAAATGCCGTATGACTTTTATTTAATGATATTATTCTTCCCGTTCAAAAAAAAAAAAAAAAAGATTCAGATTTAGTTTATATTAGTTTCATACAAAGTATTAGTTTAATGGTCTTTCTAAATGAGAATGTTTTGATGATTTTTAAGAGCATATAACATTCTTATTAACATTATTGTATCAAAAATTCAAAGTTTACACTGCATTTGGTATCAATAATAGATGGATATAAGTACATAAATCTTCAAGATTTTTGATACAATGCATCACTAATAATGAAGACCAGGAAAATTATACTTTCATACCACAACTTTTGACTACTAGATCAACATGGACAACATCAATTGAATCCATTTGACTGTTGCATTAGCCTTAACCGTTGCATTAGCCTTAACTGTTGCATTTGGATTGAAATGTAATAGTGTCAAAACATGTCTAAATTGTTTATATAATTCCATTTCATAATTTCCTTTTCTTCATACACAACATCTGATAACCACCTACTCATTCCACTCATTTGAGCTAAAAGTGGAGCACACTAAACTGACTTACATATTCAAGTAATTTGATTGGTTAAGTTATAAAGATAATACACTTTTAAGCCATGGGTTTTGTCTAGGGAAAGTCAGTGAATCTAATCGAGTTACGTTCCACATTATATAC